GATTCCATGGGGAGGACAGGGGACTGTTTGGTAAGCTAGACACATGTTTAAACTGTTCAGAGTTTTTAAAAGTTTTTTTTTCAGAATTGCATTTGTTTTGAATTAATAGATGTTGGCTTTACAAGGGCTGGCTGATCACTGCTGACCCTAGCATTACTGCTACTCAGAGAACAGCAGATGCTGGACTGAAGTCAGATCTGCAAAGGTGTCCGCAGTCTAAGGGTGTGTCTATACTGCACACTTATCTCGAAATAAGCTACACAATTTGCTCTATGCAATTTGTGCAACTTATTTCCAGGTTATTTGGAAATAAAGCACTATTCCAAAAAGTCTCTTAAGCCTTGTGGAGTAAGATTTATAGGGACATCGGAATAGCAAGCCTGTTATATTTCGAAATAATGGGCTTGCTCAAAAGACGTAGAATAGCTATTTCTGGATATCTCCACAGTGTAGATTTAGTCTAAGTGCCCTTCTGAAGGGATATAGGGGATCCTACCCAAGGAAAGGTAAAGACTAGACCCCTGAGACATAAGTGGGAGATCTTCCCAGAGAGCAAGAAGGCATAAGACGTGCAGATAAGTCAGGAACTGTGATACAGAACTCTCTTATTTTGCAGTGAAGAATGTTGACCACTTAACTATGGTGTCCGTCCATGCTATATCAACAATCCAGCTATTTAGGATGGTGGTGTGGCATCAGGAATCAAAAGCTCTTTTCAGCTCTGCCGAATGACAGCTCACAGTGCTGCTGTATTAAAAAGTTCAAGGGGCATCAAAGATTTCCGAAAAAATTATTACCTCTGCCTATGAGCATATAACAACGAGTCATCCTTTCCAAGTGCCCTGCTTAATGTTTCTTCTTCTATTTGAAGAGCTCCCTGGTCTTCTGACTTCCTCCATGGGTTGGATTATTTACTTAAGGGCTTGGTGCCTCATTGTACCCACACTGAATGCTGGGTACAAGGAAAGGGACAGCAGTGACAGTGCCTCAAAGGGGCAACTCCCATTTTCCTTCTGAGAAAAGCTGGTGCAGTTGGTGCAGTTCCTTCTGAGAAGAGTTGGTCCAGTGTTGGTGACTCATGCGTTCCTCCCACTGGGATGCCCTGGGTAGCCCCTTTTTTAAGACCAGTTCAATCTAACACAAAATATCTGGAGCAACTAAACATAAGATACTGGCTATCCCTTAAAATAGAAAGAGGCATTGCCATTCCAGCATAGACCAATGGTCCATCTAGTTCAGTACCCTTTTATCTGAGAGTGACTAGTGTGGGATAGCTCAGGGAAAGATGCTAACTCCCTATTGTGTCCCATATTGCACTGCAAGAAACAGTGCTACTTGACTTCACCTAGTGGCCAATGTTTGCCTTTACGTATGGTATCCCATGTTTGCCTTTACGTGCCTTTCCCCAGAATGGCCAGTATGTCCTATTGTATTGAAGGGAAGCACTACTCAAATGTAAGTCTTAAAAAGAAGTAGCTCTTGGAAAAAATCCCCCAAATGAACTTCCTATTAAACATTCCTTGCTTCTAATATAGAAACGCAGAACTTAATTGATGCAGGAGTTGAAGTCACAACCAAAGAACAAAAAAGCAGAGTTGTTTTTGAAGCTGCTCATCTATTTTAAGCAGAGGATTCTCCAGTCACCTGTATTCCCCAGAACAGGGAATCTCAACCGGAGCTACAACAAGGTGTCTGAGGTTCTAACCACCCTGCTCTTCCCAAACTGCTAAATGAAAGAGTGGCCCCGCTATGGAAGAGTGTCACAGAATGAAAATGTTCGAGAACCTGACTGTGGTGAGGTTATTTAATATGTAACCTGTAGATTATATTACGCATTTCACAAAGTACTTTAATCTGGATCTTTATCTTTCCATATCTGTCTGTCTGTCTTCTCTCCCTTCTCGAGGTTCCTTCCAGTTCTAATATCCTGATTCTATGATTCTTTCTACACAACTAAAAAATTATTGGGAGGAGTGGCACGGATGAAGAAGTGCTGCTTGTGGAGCTGGTGACTCTGTGGCTTGATGATCCACAAGCATTTCCAAATTTCTGGGGAGGTTACTTCAAGATCCTCTGTTCTCTGTTTGCGGTTCTCCCACAACAACCCTCTGAGAGGGTGCCTCACTGTAAAACGTCATTCTACTGGAGCGGGCTACCATTGACTTCCTCTAGGCACCATCAGCACTGCATCAAAGGGTGCGGTGTGACCCAAATATAAAGTAACTACCTCATTAGTGTTCAAATGATCTCAAATGTAAGCTGATGCTTCCATTAAGCTTTCTACCTTGTCAGCTCCATCACAGACACACCAAAGGTCAGTCCTTGAGCAGGGATGCTGGGACAATTTTTATAGTGGGGGTGCTGAATGCCCCTGAACCATACTGTAAATCCTGTATATAAGGGAACCACTTCAAGTCAGGGGGTGAAGCAGCACCTTCTGCTCCCTAGTTCTAGCACCTGTGTCCTTAAGATGACCAGCCTTGAAAAGAGTATGTCAAGGGTAAAAAAGGAACCAAGAAGAAAAAAAATCCTCTTGTTGGCATTTAAGTGGTGGCTATAAATCAGAAAACATTTTCTCTCTCCTCACCAGAGTAAATGGGAAGAAATTCCCCCTATGACTTAAATATGACATTCTTCGTTCCATGCAGAATGTATGCTGGCACTGACATTCATTTCTATCAGTTCCTTGCAGAATGTATGCTCGCCCTGACGTTCATTTCTATCTATTCATGTGAGGCAAGCATAAACTATCTGCCCAACATCATACAGGAAGCCTGTGCCAAACTGAGAACTGAAACGATTCTTCCTGATTAACTTCTGTACACAGAGGCAGCAACTGGCGATTAGATCACAAATGCCTCCCTGTATTTTCACAAATCTCCTTCGTCTCAAGCTCTTTTCACTGCATCCCAGTTCATTCTAGCACAAACATTCAGGAAATGTGTTATTTTAACGTCAGATGCGCTTTGGAGAGATGGCCGCATTCCTCACCTGTCACATGGGGCAAGTGCACGACCATGTCATTCAGCAGCACCGTGCCATCTGATCGGACCGTCAAGCTCTGTGTGTAAGCCAAGAGAAAAGGTTTAAATTACTTTGACTTCCTGGCTGCGGAGGGAAACCCAGCGCAAAAACGAACCTTAAAACAGGAGAGACAAGCGGAGCTCACATGACTGAGAAGATGAACTCAATATTTCAGTCACAGTACTGTATTTAAATGGAGCAATCTAATTTGCAAATGAAGATTCTCTCTGTCCTCGCACCAAGTACGTGTATAAAGATTTGGGGTTGTTAGTCAATTTTTTAACATGTACTAACATAGCGTCTAAAGAACAAAAAATGTTTCAACAAAGTCATGTATACAGGATACCAACTGTGTTAAGTGGCTGAAAGCATTTGGCTCTTGACACCGGATGGGTATAAGCACACACTTTGTCATGTGTTATTTTTTTTACATAATTGTGCAGCATTGATAGAATGATAAGGAAATTCTTTCAGTAAATTCTTAATGCAAAGTTTGGTATATACTTTTGGGAACATAACTAGTTTCACAAAGTGCTAAGAGCCAAGAACACTAGAAATGTATGGAAGGAAAGAACAAGAAAAAAACCCAGGGAGGTCTAGGTAGTAGGGCATTAAATTGGAAAAAAAGAACAGAAACACTAGATTAGCCAGGACGGCAGACTGAATCAGAGTGAAAACTCCCCTCCCTCGCTCACTACTGAAATTCAAACAAGTGAGAAGCTTGGCTTGATCACTATTCAAGAGTTCGCATCCGAACCAAAACCTCTTGGGTCTGCAAAATTGGGATTTAATCTCAATAAACTAAAATAGCAAGGCCTTCTTATTTCCAGTCAGATTGTAAATACCAGGAGAACAGATTGACAGTGCTTCTGACATTAGGCAAAACTAGAAAGAGCAAAAAGAAAGACAGAAGGAAGAAACAGTGAAGCAAAATCTTTTAACTGAACTAGTGCAGACTGTGCAGGGCAGGCCTGATTTGAGATTTGGACTGATTTGGACTGGTTTTTATTTTTCCTGTGTTCAGCCATCCTTACCCAGGATCCCCAGAGAAAGACTATGAAAATGGGCATACACTGGGAAGACCCACTCACCCAGGTCTCCACACATCACTTACATTTTTCTTCTGGTCTATTAACAGCACAACCGACTTCAGACAGGTCTGTTTGTCTGTGGCACCACAGGGGGAGAGCTCTGCCAGGAGGACATGACTGTCATTTACACCTCCCTGCAATGCAAGTGAAGAAAACATCAATGAGAACAGTGTGATAGGTTATAGAAACCCCACATTGGCTGAGAAGACGATAAATAGAGCTTCCAAGATCTATTGCCCCCTCTTCCGTTATTACACCAGGAGTATGTGTCATGGATAGAGTTGAATAAGGCCAGATTTAGGGGCAGTTTACCTAGGTTATTGTCTATGGTGCCCGGCTTGGGGCGCTGTTTTTGTTGTCAGTAGTCTCAGAGGGGTTGCCGTGTTAGTCTGTAACTTTAAAAACAACGAGCAGTCCTGTGGCACCTTAGAGACTAATGAATTATATGGTGAGCTTTCGTGGGTGAAACCCACTTCACTGAAAGCTCATGATCCTATAACATTTGTTAGGCTCTAAGGTGCCCCAGAACTACTCACTGTTTGTGTCACACATTGTAGCATACAAATTTATTCTCTGATGTGACAAGAATACATGATGCTTGAAAATAGTGCACCAAAGTCAAGAAGAGGGCAACAAATGCAATAAGGGATTCAAATAAGAAATAAGGGATTCAAAAGTTTAGCAAATGGAAGAGGAACATCTTTGATGGCTTGTGTGGGGAGCCATTTGGTCCAAGGCCACGTTAAAAGAAAAGAATTCAGCATAGTTGGAAGGAAGAGAGAGATGGTCTGGACTTCCATCTCTGTGGGAAGGACCTAAGGGGATCCCAGAGAAAGAACCAGGGGAAGAATATAAGAATGCAGTTAATTCCTAATGTGAGCCTTGAGAAAGGCATAAGACTCCAAGGAGACAGTCATATGGATAACAGTTCTGCAGGGGAGCAGAGAACTGGGGCAAACCTAAGACAGACAGTTGTCTGTGATAGGAAGAAATTGTTTGGTTTGTGTTTTGTCTGCTTCTAGGGTTTTACTGAGTATTTCCAGGGAGAAGCCCTGAGACCTTCTGCTCTAAAAGTAGGGGCTGAAGAAGAGCCCAGGTCAGGTGCTACCACTATTTTGTCAGACTGTTTGGAGCATTGATACTTCAGAAGAGATAGAACTCTAGTGTGACTGTCTACAGACTAGACCCACCAGAAGAGACCCTTGACATTCCAAGGCAGAGAGCTAGGAGGAGTTGCTGGAATGTTTTTTCATGCCACACAGAAGCACTCTGTGGCATGCAGCCAGCCCTTTCATATCTTCTGCAGATTCCTATCCCAGATGACAGAAATCATCAGTTCAGCTAACCAGTATTGTGGAGCTTCGCTTTTGCTTCTTTCTAGCAGCACCACCAGAACCAGAACTTCCTTTCAGAGCTCTAGGGGCAAACATTCCTGGTTTTGGTAAAGCAGATCCTTGTTCTCTGGTACAATGGGAACTGGGTACTTCAGGAAAAAAGGGATGACATAACTTGTTGGGATCTCACCCAATTCTATACAAGCATAGGTGTATTAGAGATTACATAGTACACTTCCAACCCTCATTTCAGATCTGCCTGGTAAAGCTGAGTCCTTCAAGTTGCAGGTCCTGCCATCTGCTCACTAGCACCAGTGTGCTTCTCTGGACTCTTGTAAGTGAGACTGTGGCCTGTACCATTAACCTGGTCCATAATTGTCATGAAATTGGAGACTACTAAGACAGGCAGAGGGTAGTAGATGTGCACAAGCCCTCACTGCCACATTAGTACACACTGGTAGACTAAGTTTGAACACTCTAGTATAGACTCTAGGGTTCTTCTTCCCAGACTCGGAAAGTATAATGAAACTGTGATTTACAGCCATTAAACCAAAAGGCAGATATATCTATATTTGCTGTTGGAGAGAAGAGACCTTTAATACAAGATACCTTGGCCAGCACATAGAAACAGTCTCCGTGGAAGGTGTATTTCTTCTTATCAAAGGTGGTGATGTGAGCACCTCCTTCCAGTAAGCATGAGCCTGGACACGGTACGTCATTGCACAACCACCTGCCTGAATCACAGGTACTATAAATACAAATAAATAAGAAATTAAAAATGGGGTCAGGTCCATCTGTAGGCAGAGCACCATGGGGACAGTACGAAGTACCCACAGGTGCTTTGAAAATATTTCGTTGGCTGGTTATTTAAAATGCTTCGCCTTTACCAATTTCAGACTCAAAATGCCAAAAAATCAGCTCACAACAGCATCTTGACATTGTGTGACATGTACAGATATAGACAAATAAGTAACATGTCTACAGCCAGACCCGTGCACACTCGTTCTGAAAACAGCTCAGAGTGAATTGTAACCCTTACCATTTCTCGCATTCATTGGTGATAGTTTGCCCAGGGGAATACATGACTCCGTGTTGCTTGCAGTAGCATTCGCTCACAGAAACACAGCCTTTCTCATTGACGTCATCATACACCGTTCCTATAAAAAACAACCACGGGCTGATTCATAGTTCATGTTAAAATTACCAGTCTCAGCCAACCTAGGAGAAACTCTTAGAGTGGGCCCACCAGGGCCAACATGATTATTTGTGGGGCCTAGTTCAGGACGGGTGAGCTCTGGGTTGGTCCCTCAGCAGGGACACGATCCCAGGTGCTGGCCAGGTGAGCTCTACGTTCTCG